GACCTGAAGGTCTCATCATCATTCGCTGAAGCTAGAGCAGTCTTCACACATAGTTAGACAGGCTTGTTATCACTAAATACCGCTTTAGATCACGTACACACCAGTCTCTAATCTTCAGTTTCAGTCTTCGGCGTTTGCTGAAGGATCTTTGGTGTGAGTGTTGTTTTCTTGAAGTATCGTTGTCTCTGAATGATTTACAAAGCGAGTTCTTCAGCGATCACTGAATATGCTCAGTGTATTGATCGCTGGAACTGAAAATACATAAACTAAAATACATCGAAAGGAAAAAGGGATTATCATCAAATCACTGAGAGAGAGGATCAACATTCATATCATCAATAAAGAGGTGACCAAAAACCATACCAGTAGTGGGTTTGTCTGATGATAATACGAATACTCGACCTCCAGCCGTGGACTGCTTTCCCTTTTCTTTAGTCTGACCCGTCCCTGAAGCTTTAGTCAATTGACCCACTTTACAATCTCTAGCCAGATGACCTCGCTGACCACAGTTATAGCATGAACCGATCATTCGAAGGCATGGACCCGGTCGATGTGGTAAATTACATTCTTTACAAACAGCTAAGAGAGTCGTGACTGAAGGATTTGAACTTGAAATACTCTGAAATGACCCTGAAAATCTACTACCACTAAATCTCCTTTTATCTGAATTGCTTGACTTGAACCTGTTGAAACTTCCCAATGACCCATCCTGATTTTGCTTTTTATCTTTGTCGCTCTTGTACTGAACGGTATCGAGTCTTTCTCTTTCAATATTTTGTGCAGCATCGACAACATGAGCAACTGTAGTAAAACTCTAATTTATCAGCTTCGACGTGTACTTCCCATAAACTGACCGTTTGAATTTTTCAGTTTGATGTGATGGAGTACCCTCAATGATACCCGCGTAATTGGCCAAAGGAATCTAGTCATATAGTCGGAGATAGATTCGTCCTCTCGCTGACGAATAGTAGCATATTCTCGACCATACGCGTCTTTATCAGAAGTGGTGAAATATTGTTGATAAAAGAGCTCCTTGAATTCTCCTCAAGTCAGAGACTCGATATCAACCACCCCAGAATGCGCTTGTTTTTAGTTGTGCCACCAACGGTATGCATCGCCTTCTAATTTGTACACTGCCAATTCAACACAGATATGATTGGGGCAACCTAAAACACGAAATATCTTTTTCAAATGTATGATCCAGTCCTCGGCATCAATTGGAGTAGCTGCAGAAATAAATATTCGAGGTTTTTGTTTGTGAAATCGTTCAAGCCATAAGTGAATCTCTTGATAATTACCCCCAGTGTTGGTTCCTTGACCCTGAGTCTCTAGAGGTTGGTCCACAGGGTTTGGGTTCAGACCCTTGTTAGATTGACGGAGTGCTTCCATCGTTTGTGCTACAAAACTTGGTAGCCTCTCAGACATAATTTGGTGGATTGCAGTCGTAATATTAAAGTCGATCGATTGGGTTGGCAGGGCATCAGATACATTTTCTGGCTCGGTCTGATCTCTTCTCGGTCGTCCCCGTCCCCATCTTGGTCCTTCCAATCTCGGTGGCATATGAATTAATACATTTGCCACATAATTTTTCATTTTTGCCATTATTGGATATAAAAACAGGAAGAATAATTTCCATCTAACAGAAAGTAGAAATTGAGTTAAATAAATAAGAATGATGTAGTTAAACCATTAGGAGAGAAACCTAAGCTACTGAATCCTAATACTATCATTCCTCCCACATCAAACTTAGTCGTACTTACAAAATCATAACCTATAGCTCTGATACCATATTTATAACACCCCATCCTACTAAACTTAAGATGAGACATGTCAAAACTGAAAACGGATCAAAAGTCTACCATTTATAGTACAGAGCTCTAATGGAACTCCCAAAAAAACATTACAACCATTATATTACATAGCACTAACATAATCACCTAATAACATAGCAAACACACTATATTCAACCGCTAGTCTTTTAGAATCTTAAGTCATCTCGACCCTTCATCCTGCCCCTAAGTTAGATCGTGAACCTGCCGAGGTAAAACAAAACAAACCTCGACTGACCAAAAATTGCCCAGTAAACGAATAATAGCAGAAGAATATCAAATATGAATAAATAACTGAAAGGAAACATTATGACACAAGTGAAATCATTTTAAGTGTAAATCTCTAAAATTTGAAAGTTATATAATAAAAAAAATATTCAAGGTAAGAAGGTCATCCGTATTATTAGGATACGTTGTTCCCGATGGATGATCAGTCCAATCAGGCGTCGTAATGGAATGGAAGTGTCGGGCACTACACCATCACATTCCCCGGTAACCAGAGGTATCTGTTATTCGGCTCTATCCGGTAACCAATATAATTGGTATTTGGCTCTATCCGGTATTCGGTCCATAGGATGCATCCAACATTCTCTATTTGGTTTGGCCGTAGCCTTTATGAGAATGCCATGACTATTTTAGCCATCATGGGGGCGTCTCAACACCCATGCCCCGAGTATTGAGCCTATTCAAAGTTAAGTCAATAAACTCAAACTCAAATAACCAAATCAAGAACCAAACATTTGATAATAAGTCTAATAAAACCATTGAGGTTCCAATTTATATAAAATCTATCATGAGTCTTAAAACGTACCGGTGATGGTTTAGATTTATCAGGTACACAAAATTTATAAACCAAAACATCATATATCACATAAAAGAATTTCAGATACCAATTTGATCATCTCCCCTTTTGTGGACATGTGTCAATGATTAAGATTTCATAGAATGGATAATCACCACAATTGATTACCCACATATCAAAAGAAAGTAGATATTCGTACCTTGAAAGTGTTTTAAATATGATCAAACAAAATTCGAGGCTTATGAATGATTCCCTCTTTTCAGATTACCTACACTTATCAGAAAAAAGGCTTTTAGACCATTTTCAATAACTCTTCTCATCAACTTCAAGTTCCTACAAGCTATTACCTTTCATAGAACTTGTGGACCTTCAAACATGCTTAACATACAACTAGGACACTTAGTAAACATATAACACAATGCCTAGGACTAAAGACAACATTTGCTAAAATCAAATTTACACAATCCAAACAGAAGCTAACAGGTTATATACACCAAAAGTTTAAGCCTTTTTCTCACACTTAGAAGGTGAACCAAACTTTCTTATAAAAATGAAAGTTGTACATATATCTCTTAGGATTTCATACCAACTGGATTAACATAATTTGGAGTTCTGGTCTATTTTATACAGAATTTATACAAACAGAGTGCAATTTCGAGTGGCTGCAGACAGGGTCTGGAAAATCGAAGATTTCAAGCCATGTATGGTTCGAATTAGGTTTCTCAGTAAACTACAAAGTTGTAGATAACTCAAACAACTTTCTAACAATATAAAGAACGCATCAATCGAACAAACGGTTGATTTTATATTAATTTCCAAACTTACCGAAACGAATCTGTCTCCTCTAACAGCACCAACTTGAAGAAATTTCATCAATCTTCAATTTTTAACTTATGAATCATGAATTAACTTAGGGTTTAACCATTTGCCCGGAAGAATAAGAAATCAGAAAAATAAATTATAGACATACCTTATCTTGAGTTCCTAATTCCAATTATACCATCAATTCTTCAAAAAAACTCAAAGATTTAACAAGAAATCCCTAGGTTTATAGAGATGAGATGAGAAATTTTAGAGAGAGGTAGGAGAGAACTTAGAGTTAGAGAGAGGAAGAAGCCTAATTTTGTTTTAAAAAAAATAACAATTTCCTATATATATTTACAATATTTACTATCTAACCCTTGATCTTAAGCTTATTAGCAATATAAACATACTTTGGCAATTTCTTTACAATTTTGGTCCTAACCAAAATTGTTCTAACCAACTTAAAACTCAAATGAATTTTATGAAAATAACTAGGCCTAATAAACGGCTCTTAAAGACTAAGATATAAAACACTAAATCACATTTTCACACTTGAACAAAATTGGTTCTCGATCAAAAGATTAGATTTACCAAATACGGGATATTATACTACATCATCATGAATCTCTCAAAACGAATTTAATTAGAAACAACGACTTGGGAATGACCGAACTCAAATTGTACACAGGCTTTGTGTGTATTTCTACTTGCAATAAATCATATAAACAAAATATAGATTCTTTTCTTTCCTTCCCTTCCCTTCCTTTATAGTTTAAGGTCTAGCTAGTTGGTTTTCCGGTAACTCTTTGAGCAATCCAACCCAAGCCATCATAGAGTCCATCACCCGTAAGGGCTGAACAGGCTTGGATGTGCCAATCATGGTTCTTGATACTGTGAAGCGAAAGGGCATCGGTTATTTCGGCCGGGCTCATTGCATCCTTCAGGTCCTGCTTGTTTGCAAATACCAGTAGTACTGCATTTTGAAGATCTTCGTTTGGGAGCAAGCGGAAAAGTTCGTCTTTCATGATGGAAATCCGAGCCCGGTCGGTGCTATCTATCACTGTAATCACGGCGTGGGTTCCACGGTAATACGTAGCCCATGATGTCCTAAGCCTGTCTTGCCCACCAAGATCCCACACCTGTTCAAGTAGCCATAAGAATCAAGAGAAGTCTATATTTAGTAAATTAATAAAAATGTAATAATCAAACATTTCTAAAACTTTGTGTCTTTTTAATTGTCAATATTTTTTGGGACAGAAGGAGTATTCATTAAGACAACAAGCATGATACATATAACTCATATCAAAGTTCTCACGAATATCAGAAAACAATGTAGTACGCCATTAAAAAAAAGAATTTGAAATTGACTGCTAAAAACACAAATCACCCAGTCCTACTTGTGTTTTCCCTAACCCAAGTATGGCGAAAATCTGCATATGAGAAAGGGGTTGAACACAACATTAACAACTAAGGTTATGTTTGGCAAACTAGTTATTAGCTGATAAATTAGTAGCTGATAAGTTGGAGGACAATATAAAATGACCTGAATGGGCATGTTCAAAGTTTAATTTCAAAAATATAAGAGGCATAGTTGGAAAAAAAATTATTGAAACGTTACTTGAAATAGCTTTTCAAAATGTTGGCTTATGAGCAAGCATGGCTAATAGGCTTTTTCAATAAGCTAATGACCAAAGAATTTATGGCAAAGAAAGATGGATGGGTCCTTCATTCTACATTTCTTTCATTTTACATATAAATAAGATGCCAAAAACTTGTAAATACAAACCAAAAAACTTCTCAATGCCTTGTCGAACAAAGTTGTTGATTTTGCTTTAGTTTTGGTGTTTCAAACTTTCTTCCCCAAGCTAAGCATGCAATTAACAATCAAGTCTGCAAATTACAAATCAAGTTCAAAGAATATCAAGTAAACCATCGCCCCAACACTAATATTGTTGTTTATATTATTTATAAATCGGAGCATGGTAGCATTAAGATAAAACATTCACATCACACGCACAACAGAAAAGCTCTCTAGTAAGACTAAAATGTCCTGTAGATAAAGGGCAAGATCTGTGAAACTATCTATTCTATCTGTAAATGCAAAAGAGATGCTATCCAAAAAAAGCCAATTTATATCATTTAATTAACAGATTTCCACTACCCTTCAGATCCTTGACGCAAAGACGGAAATACTTGCTGAAGCTTCTTACACTTGAACCACGATTAGATAGTCAAGAAATTGCTATACAGACCAATGAGATTTGGTCATGATTGCATAGTATTTCATCATATTATCAGAGCAAATAAAAAACCAAGTCATATTTCACTTGCATATTTGCTAGCGCATCCAATGTAAAACTTGCAAGGATGTAAATACATGTTGCATGTTAGATGCAGTGGAATTATGCAAAAGAGTAGGTTTCTTGGTTGGTTGTTTGCTCTGAAAGTAAGACGGTAATTACGCGCTCAAGACCAAATTTTGTTTGGTTGTTTCCCTTTGTTTTCTCCTAGATACTTGTCATACTTTGTCTCTTCAATTCAAAGCTTGTAAGTATACTCTTGTCATTTTGCCTATAGCTAATGAAACCTTCACAGCTAGACTAGATGTCTAATTGCCTTTTGCAATGAATCAAGGAAATGACTTTCAGTTACAAGATATAATAAAAGGCTTCATGGGCATTCATAACCTGTTCCTAGCACCCCATTCTATGGTAGTTTTCAATTTTAAGATGCATCTTTTGAAAAAAAATCCACACCAAGGAGAAGTTCTCAATAATCAAGGTAACCTTCAAAAGACATAGAGAAGATGCGATGCCCTTCATATAAGGCACTTACCCGAGCTCACATTCTGTAAACATATGATATGCTGTCCACTAAATAAATTCCTTGTCTTTATGAGTTTATAGGTCATCAGCCTTACATACAACATTCATTCATCTAACAATAACAAGACAGCATCCAGTAGCTTACAGCCATAAGCACTTTATGTCTAACAACTTAATCACCATCAATGAAAACTGACCAATAAGTTGCACAAAGATGTTAGGTATGCATACATCTAATCCCCCCCCCCCCGGGACCCCACCTTCAGGTGAGATATACTGGGCTTGTTTGGTTTGGTTTGGTTTGATTGAGGTCTAATGATTCTTAAGATAGCTACATTGGTGCTCTTAAACTGCAACCATGTATTTATACCAAAACTCCAGACTACTACAACAGAAGAATTAGTCACCAACTTTCAAAACCTAATACCACAGCTAAAATGATCATTAAGAAACCATGGAAACAGATAAACATATGCAGAGTAAACTACTTCTAGGCGTACAATATTTGTAAACTTGGTCTCTCTCACAATCTCTATACAAGCTTATGACTTCCAAAGCTTAAGGCCTTGTTTGTTTCTTTAAAAAACTCTTATCAGCCTGTTGTGTCTGATTCGTCAAAAGGTAGGACCATTCAGACTGTCTGTTTTTTCCAATTCTTCAAAGACACTTATGTTATCTAGTAAGGGGTAAACCAACCTCTTATTTGCCTCTTATTGTTCTCCAGCTCCTCAGCAATGATGTTTCTCAATCGATTAACCTTAACCGATCCTTTCTCTCAATCGATCCTCACCTCCCTCAATTTGATGTATTTTTAATAGGATTTAAATGTGTTAAACACCATCAATAGTATATTTTTGTTTAAATGAATGCTAATTATATAATTTAGATGCAAATTTCGTAGTGATGATGAATAAATATGTGAAACTGTATAAATTTATCTATAAATTCAACACTATAATTTTCTAATGGGTAAAATAGATAATTTGAACAAATTCAAGCATTTATCAGTTTACAAAATCAAACAGTCTTATTGATTCAGATTTCAGACTTTAGCACCTCTTAGAAAACAAAGGCCACCTAAGTCTGATAAACAAAATTACCAAGATATCCTAATTCTGGACACAGCATTTCACAGAAATCAGATGATATCAACTCCATTATAATAATTTATCACCATTTAATATGTTATCAGCATGACAAAGTCCAAGTTCCAACTTATCTAGCATCCCAATAAGTCCATAATGAAGCTGCATATGCTATATATTTTCTCAACCAGCTAATGAAGAACATCATTAATGAAAAATGACTAGTAAGAACAGAGTAAGATATTTGTAATTCATTTATTCCATTTATAAGAACCAATTTACCATTTGCAAGTGATTCATTTGTGTGCTAAGTTGTAGAAAGCAACATTAATTTGTAAAACACCAAGCTGAAGTACCTCAAATCGTATATTCTTATAAACCAGCTCCTCCACGTTGCTACCAACAGTGGGGTGAGTAGTTACCACCTCACCTAGATGCAACTTATACAGTGTTGTTGTTTTGCCTGCATTATCCAATCCAACAACAACAATCTTGTACTCCTTTGCAGGAAATAACATGAACCAAAACCTTGACATAAGTGCCCCCATTCTTTTTTAACCCTGCATAACACAAAAGTGAAAGAACATATCATCAATATTTCCAAGCTATACAAGAAAATGAGTTAGTTCTAACAATACCATAAGAATGCAAAATTTTAATCTTGTATGAAAGATTTGACTTTATAATAAAATTATGTGTCATGGTGATATTCAAAACCGTAGTATTTCAAAGCAACATGATTGATTGATAGTCTTTATGATCAATGTGAGTAACAGTAGAAGTTTGTGCAATTTAGTTGTCCATCCGTACGAGAGGAAGAAGATTTTAACCAGTCACCCCCAGTGTGGCATATTGATGTTAGTGTCCAATACCATTACCAAAAGGCAGGAGTTCAACACAATTAGTCCAAAATCAAGCATATTACTCATGAAGAAAACCTTATTAATATGGATTTTATTGCAGACTAACTCTATCTGTAGCGTCTGTCCTATGAGCATCTCCAACAGATTCCCCAAAATGGATAAAATAGAGATTTTGAGCATGTTTTTTGATCCAACAGATTCTCCAAAATAGAGAAAGTAGGAGAGAGAGTGTGTAAAAATCTCCAAATTTGGAGAACACCCCAAAAATGAGTACGATGAGAGATAAATATTATTTAATATATTTCCACCAATAGGAACTTTAAAAACAAATATTTAGAGAGAGGAATAATATTTTATTAAGTGAAAGAAACATTTTAACAATATAATCAATGTTGTAATCTCCAAAATGGAGAATCTGCTGGAGTTGAATGTATTTTCGTTAAGAGAATTTGAAGTTCCATTCTACATTTTGGAGAAATTTTGGAGAATTTGTTGGAGATGCTCTAAAGCTAATATAACTGTTAAGTTTTTCTTGAGGAGCTCAAATATGTCAACTTTGCATTCAAGAAGAATCAGATTTGAAATGCATAATATATAATTCTTCAGACAAATAAAATTTAGACTTGTTTTTTTGACTATGTATTGTTTTTCTTCATTTAAGGCATACTGCTTTCAAACAATATCATTCCATTCGTATTCAGTTTTCATTGCTTAGAAATGCCACAAGTACAATTTATTTAGTTGTCAAAGATTGCCAGCAAGCTTCCTTCCCCTGTTGCAAGGTTGCCAGATTATTCCTGAAATTCCAAAAACAAACACGAGGACTAAAACAAAGGTCACTGATGTAGAGCGTCTAGCAACCCAGCTCGAGAACAAATGGACCGGGACAAAACCGCGACAAAAAGACCGAAACAGAGGATGCCGCAACTTTCCACGTGATCTAAGCCGCCGGGAAGTGTGTAACACACTAGATCCCAAAACAGACTCTCCCGTGGCTTTCCATGCGACCTCACCCGCGGGAAAAATCCGCATACCTCACTGGATGCTCGATAGAAGATCTCACGATCATCATGGCTAGTAGCGAGCGTACGCCTGGGCCACTCCCTGTTCTAATCGATTTCCTGGTTTCTCTGCAGTTCTTTTATTTCTATCTTAAATTAGTTTTAGCTATATCTTAATGTTTTTAATTGTTTCTTAGCTAGTCTAGAATTCTTCCATAAAACGTATTTAAACCTTTTTAGTTTAATGTTTAAAGCAGATTATCAAGTTGTCAAAAAAAAGCTTTCTTTGAGTTTTCCCAATAATTCTAGTCCTTACATTTGTAAGTTCTAAAAGCCTTTGGGTTCTCACGTTTGTCAACCCATTATCATTTCCTCCTACGTCAGTCACAAGGACAGAATCCTCTAGACTTGAACAATGGTTGATGTTTTTGGTAAAACCATAACTCCAATAATGAAATTTCTATTTGCCATGAATCTAAATATAATGTTTCGATTTGTAAACAAATACTATAATGTTATTCATGCATATATAGACAAAGGATCGTGTGAGAAGGGAAGTTATGATGAGAAGCGTAAAAAGAGATCTGAACCCCTGATCACTTTTAATCCCATGCTCACCCATAAATTGCACTTTAGAAGGGAATTGATCCGGTACATCTTGTTGCACCTCATTAGTGTTTGACATTCAATTATGATTGATCCAAGGGTGGAGAATTCTTCTTATGCTTCTCACCGTAACTTCCCTTCTCACCGGACCCCAACCTTATATATATATATATATATATATATATATATATATATACACACACATATACATACACGTTGATCAAAATTGTGTCTGACTAGAGATACAAAACATATAGCTGAAAGATACTTTTTTCTTAATATACAATTCTTATGGCAAATGAACTGAATGCACCCTCTTCACTATTGGTGGGTTTTGAAAACTTTACCAGTAAACGGGATACTGCAAATGGCCTAATTAAATGCAAATACATTAAGATTTCCTAACATTCTACTACACACATAATCACATATCCAAACCTTGCACTTTTACCATTTCCAACCATTCTACTTCATACACAACTTATTCATGCAATTTACCTGGTTAACGATCAAAGAACAAAATTATGTCCAGAAATAGTAAGTGGGTACAAGGAATTTGTAGCGTGTGTGTGCACGCGGGGTGCAAATTACCTCATGCCAAATTGAGATTTGAGATATGAAGCGATCACTACATATGGAGACGTTAAGCAAGAAACTCATGCATACTAGGAGGTACGTAATTTAAAGTCAAGCTCCGCATAAAGAAATTGGATCCAACGCCATCAATCTGAAGAAATTATTTGCAAATCAGGGTTCAAAAACAAGACCGAACCTGATTATACAGGATCGATTAAGCGAATGATACAGCAATCCTTTTACGGTCAAAAATCAGTGCCTTACTATCGCTTGTGCATATAGATCCAGCAACTTCAGAATTTAGGGCTTTATTTATCGAGCAATACTTTTCAGAATCACAGATCTGTTAATAACCGCAGGTAGAATTGGGGTTTAGAAATCCCCTTTTTTGTAAATATATGGTGTTGTGCTGTTAAAACCATCCACTTCACTGCAATCCATTTACACTCTCAATTGTATCATATCAGTTTTTGCAATTATATCTTCCATACATCTATAATTTACCTATAACACTTTCAACTATGTCACGTCAGTTTTGCAATTACCACCTACACACCTGCAATTTACCTACACTTTCAAAAGTGGTCCCCACTATAACATTTATTAATTATTTTATAAATTATTTATATATACATTCTAATTATTTTTTAATTAATAACATGTTTTATTTTAATTCAATGTTAATTAAAACGATTAATATATGATATAATATAATATAATAATTATATAATTTATTGTTTTAAATTTGAAACATTAATTTATTAAATCCGTGACTTCCGCTACTGTTCACCCGTGACT